CCAGAAGTGGCGCTGTAGCTCAAGTGGTAGAGCGCTAGCCTTGAGCTGAAGAGCTGAGGGACAGCGCTCAGGCCCAGAGTTCAAGTCCCATGACAAAAAAAACTGAACAAAGGATTTGAATGGATAATTATTCAAAAAAGTATAGCAATATCTTAAGCACATGAAAAGATGTTGGCATCAGACATCAAAGATCATGATGACATAACAATTCATATACAGTAAAATAGCTAGACCAAAAAGACAGATAAGGTCTGGGGACCTTGATCAAATGGTAGAGTGCCTGACTGGTAAGTGAAAAGCCCTCTGAGTTCAGACCCAAGTACCACCACACACACACAAACACACACACACACACAAGGACAAATAATAACAAGTGTTGATGATGATGTGGAAAAAAAAGAAACCTTTAATATACTTGATATGGATTCCTAAAATGATTAAATCACTTTGGGAAAGTTAAACATAGAAAAAGATTAACATAGAGTAACTATAACTCAGTTTCATTCCTGGATACATCCAAGAGAATTGAAAATGTACATTCACACAAAAATTTGTTCATGACTATTCATGGCCCATTACTCAATAGCCATAAACCAGAAACAACTCAAAAGACAAATGAAAAACTGTAGTATATCCTATAATTGAATATTATTTGGAAGTAAAACAGGAATGAAATACTCACACATGATAGAGTGTGGATGAGCCTGGAAAACATACTAAATGAAAGAAGTCAGGCAAAAAAAAAGACCACATGTATAATTCCATTTATATAGCATGCCCACAATAGGCAATTCTATTGGCACAAAAAGTCCATTAGTGAGCACTTGGATTCACTCTGCAGAAAAAAGGATGGTGGGATGAGATAAGAATTCTTTTCTGTATAGTGAAAATGTTCTAAAAGTGGTTGGTAGGGATAGTTACACACCTGTAACTATACTAAAAATAATTGCATACTCTAAATGGTTGAGATAAATGCTTATGCATTATATATTAGAGCTAACAACAACAACAAAAACTAGCGGTACTGGGTTAATTCTCAGAGCTCCCTCAAAAAAAAAAAAAATTCTAGGGCTGGGAAGGTGGCTCAGTGGTAGAGCGCTTGCCTTGCATGCATGAGGCCCTGGGTTCGATTCCTCAGCACCACATAAGCAAAAAGAAAAAAGCCGGAAGTGGCGCTATGGCTCAAGTGGTAGAGTGCTAGCCTTAAGCTGAAGAGCTGAGGGACAGCGCCCAGGCCCAGAGTTCAGCCCCACAACCGGACCCCAACAACAAAAAAAAAATTCTGGTTAGGCTACTTGTATTCTCTGTGTGATTCTTTTTTGGGGGGAGAGGGGGTGGTCAGTCGTGGGGCTTGAACTCTGGGCCTAGATCTGTCCCTCAGCTCTTCAGCTTAAGGCAAGCACTCTACCACTTGAGCCACAGCACCACTTCCAGGATACTTGTATTCTCAAAATACAGAAAAAGACTACTCTGGAGATGGAGATCCAGAGGATTTCTGTTAAGTCCATCCCAGGCAAGAAATTAGCAAGGCTCTATCTCAACATACAAGACGGGAATGGTGATATATGATTGTAATCCCAGTTATAAAGGAGGTATAGGTAGTAGGTTGCGATATGAAGTTGCCTTTTCCTGAAAACTAACTTTAAAAATAAAAATAAAAGTATGGTCAAATGGTAGAGCATCTGCCTAGCAAGCCATAACTTCAGTATTGTCAGGTAGGATGTGTGTATGTGCACACATATGTCTGTCTATGTATGTATACACATGTGTGTCAGTATTAGAAAGATCTAGCACAAGACTGTATAAGTTACATTTTATGTAAGTTTAAAGGTCTTAAAAATTAAAACATTTTAGCAGGGCACCAGTAGCTTGTGCCTGTAATCCTAGCTACTCAGGAAGCTGGGCTCTGAGGACTGCAGTTCAAAGCCAGTGAGGGATTGGAAAGTCTGTGAGATTCTTCATCTCCAGTTAACCACCAAAAAATCAGAAATGGATGTATGCCTTAAGTGGTACAGCACTAGCCTTGAGCATAAAGACTCAGGGATGGTGCCTAGACTGAGTTCAAGCCCCAGGACAAGTAGGGGGAAAAATTTATAGAGCTTAAAATAAGCACGTATAATTAAATACATTTTTTTGGTCGGTCGTGGGGCCTGAACTCTGGGCCTGGGCACTGTCCCTGAGCTCTTCAGCTCAAGGTGAGCACTCTACCCCTTGAGCCACAGTGCCACTACTGGTTTTCTGGTCGTTAATTGGAGATAAAAGTCTCACAGAGGGCTGGGAAGGTAGCACAGTGGTAGAGCGCTTGCCTTGCATGCATAAGGACCTGGGTTCAATTCCTCAGCACCACATAAGCAAAAAAAGCCAGAAGTAGCACTGTGACCCTACAACCGACAAACAAAATGTCTCACCGACTTTCCTACCCAGGCTGGCTTTGAACTGCGATCTTCAGATCTCTGTCTCCTGAGAAGCTAGGATTACAGGCATAATTTTATTTTTATTTACTATTATTGGTGTCAGGTAAAATGTCACCAGTATTGGCCAGATGCAATAGGAAGTTCATCCTATGGCTGCTACCAAGTCACTTGCCACTCTGAAGAAGGAAACCCTGCCTATATCTTCAGGAAGATGACCCTGTTTAACCAAGAGGTAAGAAGGTAGATGCATTAGACTTTGGAAGCTGTGAATATTTTTCATCAGAGTGCTAGCTACTAGGAAATATCAGAAATACTGAATTACTTGTCAGTGTCATTGGGAAACTTTGGAATTTTATGTAGAATATTCTGAACGACAGCCAGTGTATTTCCAATTTCTAATCTGAAACAGATTTTAGCAAATAACACATATTGTTGTTACTACCTTGTTTATTCATAATAATCCAATAATGTATTTCGTTATTAAAAAATTCTTAGTCCGTTATTAGTAAAATATTTGAGTTGTCTGCAGAAATGTTAAAAGCTGGGGCTGGGAAGGTGGCTCAGTGGTAGAGCACTTGACTTGCATGCCTGAGGCCCTGAGTTTGATTCCTCAGCACCACATAAGCAAAAAGAAAAAAGCCGGAAGTGGCGCTGTGACTCAAGTGGTAGAGTGCTAGCCTTGAGCTGAAGAGCTGAGGGACAGCGCCCAGGTCCAGATTGCAGGCCCCATGGCCGGACCCAAAAAAAAGAAAGAAAGAAAGAAATGTTAAAAGATAGTGAAAGGTACTGGGAATGTGGCTTGGTGGTAGAGTGCTTGCCTAGCATTTATGAAGTCTTTGGTTTAATTCCTCAGTATACCACATAAACAGAAAAGGCTGGAAGTGGCGCTGTGGCTCACATGGTAGAGTGCTAGCCTTGAGCAAAAGAAGCTCAGGGACAGTGCCCAGGCCCTGTCAAATTGTATCTCTTTATTCAAAGACTTAAGGTGAACAACATATAATCCCTTTAGGATTAAGAAATAAAGTCTTAAGAAGGCCTTGTTTTTGTTTTTTATTGTCAGTCGTGGGGCTTGAACTCTGGGCTTGAGTGCTGTCCCTGAGCTCTTCAGCTCAAGTCAAGTACTGTACCACTTGAGCCACAGCTTCACTTCCAGTTTCTGGTGGTTTATTGGAGATAAGAGTCTCACAGACTTTCCTGCCTGAGCTGGCTTTGAACCATGATCCTCAGATCTCAGCCTCCTGAGAAGCTAGGATTACAGGTGTGAACCACCAGCACCTGACTAAGAAATCCTTTTTTGTTCTCTCTTTCTCTCTCTCTCTCAATCTTTCCCTCTCTCTCTCCCTCCCTTCTTCCTTCTCTCCCTCTCTCCCCCTCTCTCCCTTCTCTCTCCTCTCGCTCACAAAAAGAATTGATTCTTGGTTTAACTTTGTGTTTTTGTGATCTCTAGGTTTTTTGTTTTTGTTAGGGTTCTGATACCAGGTATTGAACTAGGGGCCTTGAGCTTTTTTTTGCTCAGCTTGCTTGCATCTGGTACCCTACTAGTTGAGCCATACCTCCAACTCATTATCTCCAGTTTTTGGTCTACATGTCTTAAAGAATTTTTTTCTGATTTCCAAAATTTCATCTGTGTCATGTCAGATTAGCCCAATTTTGTTCACCATTAAAAAAAAAGGAAAAATGTTTTTACGTTACTGTTTTTGCTCACCTAACTTTTAAGTTTTTTAGTCTTGATTTGTTTAGGCTTGTTTACTTGATTATCATCTGAAAAGTAATTACAAATATAGAAATTGACACAGAAAGAGAAATAATACAAGGAACCTTAAAAGGATACAGCTGTTTCTATAGAATGATATATTCCTTTTTATTGATACTTTATGTTCATTGAGTTATGTATTTCGGATACAAGGAGTTATTGGTTGTTTTGTTTGCCTTCTAAAATTAAAATGACATGAGTGTTTATATATTAAAGATATAATTCCTAAGTCAAGATGCATAATTTTTATTTGCACTTAGAAAAATGAGAGTCGTCAGCTCACTCAGATCCAGTACATAGCCTGGCCTGACCATGGAGTCCCTGATGATTCAAGTGACTTTCTGGATTTTGTTTGTCATGTACGTAACAAGAGGGCTGGAAAAGAAGAACCTATTGTTGTTCATTGCAGGTATTCTATTTCCTGTCTTTTATGAATAACATTAAATATGCCATTTTAAAATAAGAGTACACATTTTGTCCTTACATTGTGACTGATAATTAGGTGGTGATTACTAGATGAGTTAATTTGACTTCAAAGCTGTGCTCTGAAGGTAGAAGGCAAAGGGTAGGTTCTAACATGATTGGTAGAAATCATAGGAAATAAAGATACGTTATACTGATTCTTGGAGACTTTTCATATTTTAACATCTCTGGAATTGGAATTTTATTGAAGTTGATCTTAGATTAATCTTAAATCTGATAAAATCCAATATTTTAGGCTATCTTTCTGTGTTTATACTGCTATAACAAATTAAGAAGAAAAACTGATTTCTCCAAGTTCTGGAGGTTGGGAAGTCCAACCTGCAATCAAGTGTCCAATCAATGGCACCTGCAAATTTGGTGTCAGGTAAGGGCTGCTGTCAGGTGAGGACTGCTCATCTGACAAAAGGGTAGTACCTTATTGATCCATTTCCAGAGGGCCCAAATCCTGTGTCCTCACATGGCAGAAGGAATGGGAGATGAACCTTCCCTTGAGCTCTCTTATAAGGGTCTTCATCACAACTTTGAGGACTCTACCCTCATGACTCATTTGCCTGCTCATATTAGTAATTAAGTTTTATTTCTAACATAGTCATTGAAGATGGCCTGAAGTTTAGATCTCTTTCTTCCTTGCAGCATACCCTTTCTTCTAGGTCATAATATATTGAATATTCCCATCTCCTCCTGAAATGTCCCTATCACATGTCACTATAAGATATGCCTCTTCCTAGAGGTCTTGGCGAACAGTGAATAGGCTACCCTCTCTGCCCTCAAAGAGCCAAATACAGTGACTTCAACCTACACTGCCACTTTACTAAAGATTAGAAAACAGAAATTATGTCCTTACCATAACCATGTTTTAGCTGATGTATTCAGTGAATATACTTACTGGCATACCTTTTATCTTCAGACTTACCATCACATTTTAAGAGTAGTCTTTCAAATCACCAAAAAAGATTGAAGGCCAGGTCTTTTAAAAGGCATCATATCAAGAATGGCAAAATAGAAGCTGGGAAGGTGGCTCAGTGGTAGAGTGCTTGCCTTGCATGCATGAGGCCCTGGGTTCGATTCCTCAGCAACACATAAGCAGAAAAAGCCGAAAGTGGCGCTGTGGCTCAAGTTGTAGAGCACTAGCCTTGAGCTAAAGAGCTGAGGAACAGAGTTCAGGTCCCACAACCAACAACAACAACAAAAGAAAGAATGGCAAAATACATTTGGCCGTTCATATTGTAAAATTTTCAGTAGCTACTCCTTTCATATTTACAGATTATATTTCCAAAAAAATCTTGATCTTAATGATAAAGTTTTTAAATTACATTTTGTTTAAAACACTTATTTAAGGAGAAAATACTATTGTATTTTATGTTTTTGTTAATATTAATTACTAGAGTTCTGTTGTTTTGCACTTTAAGGGAGATAGCTCCAATAAGATTCTATTCCTTGGGGCTGGGAAGGTGACTCAGTGGTAGAGCGCTTGCCTTGCATGCATGAGGCCCTGGGCTCGATTCCTCAGCACCACATAAGCAAAAAGAAAAAAGCCGGAAGTGGCGCTCTGGCTCAAGTAGAAGAGCGCTAGCCTTGAGCTGAAGAGCTGAGGGACAGCTCCCAGGCCCAGAGTTCAGGCCCCACGACCGGACCCAAAAAAAAAAAAGGTTCTATTCCTTATACAAATACTGACTTACTACTTCTGTAATATAAAATCTTAAAATAAAATTGATCTTCTGTATTGTAATTTAGCACTTCAGTTTTTTCTTCAAACCTCTGAGAAGTAAATACCATTGTATCAGTAAGACTTTACCAATTTGTCTTCTTGCAGTGCTGGAATTGGAAGGACTGGGGTTCTTATTACTATGGAAACAGCCATGTGTCTCATTGAATGCAATCAACCAGTTTATCCACTAGACATTGTAAGAACAATGAGAGATCAACGAGCCATGATGATACAAACACCTGTAAGTACTGTACTTCAGGTACACACATACATATACATATCTTCAAACTCAATAGGTTTTGTTATCAGTATGTACCTTAAATCGTTTATGCACATACATCTTTGGATTTGTTTTGTTTTGGCAGTTCTGAGGTTTGTAGTCAAGGCTTTGTTCTTGCTAGGTAAAATATTATCATTGGATCCATACTTCCAGGTGTTCCCTTGTGTTTTTCTTTTTTTTTTTTTTTT